GATAGATAGATAGATAGATAGATAGATAGATAGATAGATAGATAGATAGATAGATGGATCAGAGAGAGAGATAGGGAGAGAGAGACTGAGAGATAGATAGATAGAGAGAGATATATATAGAGAGAGAGATAGAGAGAGACAGAGAGATAGATAGATAGATAGTGAGAGAGAGAGAGAGAGAGAGAGAGAGAGAGAGAGAGAGAGAGAAGGACAGATATATAGATATATAGGGTAGAGGGATGAAGATAAAGAAAGAGACAGGCAGAATACAGACAGACAAGAAGGGTAGGATGGGACTCATGAGTATCTGAATTTTTTCACTAGCCCTCAGTTGTCAAACTACATTACTGTATGTTACGTCATGGCGAGCCGCAAGCGGCCCTGCTCAGAGCGGAGACACCGCGAGCGCCTAATGGGTCACTTAACCCTTTTTTGAGTAATACCGGCCGAAGCCGGCCTTCCCGTCACGTTGCCATACCGGCTTTTACCGGCTTTCCCGCTGTAGAGCCATACCGGCTTTTACCGGCTTGCCCGCTGTAGAGCCATACCGGCTATAACCTGCCTGACACACCTGCTTTTAGTGTAGGCTTAAATAGAACATTCCACTCTAAATTTAGACTCTGGGGTCCTAGGTCTTTGTATGTGTAATTTCATTGAAATAAGTCGCTTAGATCAAAAGCAAAGGCAATTTCCTTGGTGCACCCCCTAAGTCTCTGAGAAAACACTGAAATAATTCGGTTCTGGGAAGACATCAGCTGGCCACCATTTTGGTTCTGCTGTGCTGACCTGCTGACCTCCTTATGGTGCTAAGAGGGTTAAGTTCTGAAAACAGGGCTCAAACTTTCAGTGGTTGGTTGCTGGGTGTTCTGGTGTGGTTTGCTCCTTCTTTCCTATCAATTCAAACATCTGTCGTCCATATATCTTCTCCATATTATTATATTTTAGTTACTCTCTTGCAACACCTTTAAGCTTCGGCACTTATATGACCAAAGCGTGTTGCAAGTGTCGTAAAACGCTAACTAAAACAAAGCAGACCTTTATCCTTTACCTGAAACTTTAAATCTTGTGTGAGCAGATCGTGAGTAACATCCAGTAATGTGAGACGCACTACAAGAGCAGGCTATTTCTCCGTCTGTAGAGTCCCCGGGTGGAAGAGTTATCTGTTCAGAGCCGGAGATGTTCGCACAAGTCAACAGAATGTCTTGTGACGTCACGGGCGGGTATCCACCATCAACCAAGCACGTGACATTTGTAGCTGCGCTTTTAGAGATGACTTCCAGGTTTTTCAGGACGTTGCCGGATGGTCCGATGCTGATTATGGTGATCTTCGGTTCTGTTTTGGGTGGTTCTGAAAATTAAAATCGTTCAGTTTACAAAATCATTGGCTTCACTTATTAAAACTATTCACACTTATGCCAAGTTTTCACTACCAATCGACTTTATTTGTTCATTCGGTTTTTTCTTTTTAAAGGGGTAAAAGCTACCATTTTGGTTACAACACGATCAATTCGATTCGTGGTGTTGAAAAACAAAATGTATGTATTCAATCGAATGTAGATCTAGTCTAATAATAATAATATTGTCAAAATGGAAGCGTTTGTCCCATTGTTTTGTGATGGAGTCCCTCCACCAACTGATAATTCTCTTCGTAAGTTTTTGGATGGTAAACCCCGAAACTTTGTTTGGTATGAACTTATGAAATGTTTTAAAACATGTTAAGGAACGACGACCACTTCACATTTACACAGACCGTACCTCTGACGAGAATGGTCAGCTGGTCACTTTCAACAGGCGCTCTATTGTCTCCCTTGGCAGTACAGGTGATGTTGTAGGTTCCTCCAGCTTCCGGAACAAAGCCATACGAGTACACGTAGGTATTACTTCCAGTTTTGACCAACTGGTCTTGAGTTGGCCTTGAGTAAGCTTGTTGGTTCACGAGAATTGTGAACTGGGGTTGGGGGTTAGAGCTCGCGCTACACTGGAGCGATATCTGTGGCGAGGAGTCTGAGCAGATGTCCACAGGTGAGTTATTGTCCCTGCCTGTTTTCTGAAAGGTGACAGTTTCTGGTGAAACTGTAGGAGAAACGTGTGTTTGTGTCTTTATTAATTTATATTTTAAGCAAACAATTTCATTTGAGAAAATTATTATAAGATATAGAGCTTGGGGAAATCTTTAGAGTTCTAATAACGGGGGAAAAATTCTTTTCATTTAAAAAGTATTGAAACTTTCATCTTTTGGCTGCCATCAGGACAATAGTCATGAATGAATGGATGAATAAATGGATGAATGAATGGATATTAGAATTGATTATAGCAGCAAGTGCAAACAAGGCATGATGATGAAGATAACGATGACGATGACGACGATGATGATGATGATGATGATGATGATGATGATGATGATGATGATGATGATGATGATGATGATGATGATGATGATGATGATGATGGTGATGGTGATGGTGATGGTGATGGTGATGGTGATGGTGATGGTGATGGTGATGGTGATGATGAAAATTACAATAATTTATAAACATTGTTATCCTTTGTGACATCCCTGCCCCCTTGACCTTCCCTGTTCTTTTTGCCTTTCTTCCGCTCTGTTTCTCTCTCTCTCTCTCTCTCTCTCTCTCTCTCTCTCTCTCTCTCTCTCTCTCTCTCTCTCTCTCTCTCTCTCTCTCTCTCTCTTTCTCTCTCTCTTTCCCTCTCTCTTTCCCTCTCTCACTCTCTCTCCCCTCTCTCTCTCTCTCTCATTCTCCCTCACTCTCTCTCCCTCTCTCTCTCTCTATCTTTAACTCTCTCTCTCTATCTTTCTCTCTCTGTCTCTCTCTCTCTCTCTCTCTCTCTCTCTCTCTCTCTCTCTCTCTCTCTCTAGCTCACTAATTGCATGTATCTTCTTCTTACAGTGACCTTCCTATCTTTATTTGTATTTTCAGTCACCTATTACCTACAGACATACAAGATACTTTGAGGTCACAAAGTACACACACGTACTTACACAGAACATTAATTGTGACCTCAGTTTTCTGGTTGTAGCATTGTGACACATGTTGTGCTGTACATACACACTTCTCCTGGTCAGCCGACTTAACGACTATAATGACAGACAGCGACACTGAAGTCCCGGTCATGGTCTCTGGGGCCACGCCTGGACAGGTCAGTGTGACATTGGACACGAGTGGCTGACCCCCAGACACGTCACAGCTTGATGAGTACCTCTGCCCCGGGGTCTTTGAAATAGAATATCCCTGGAGTCCGATGTAAACTGCCCCTGATATTGTCAGTTTTGGAGGAGTAGACGGTGAAACTGGTGATGAGAAAAACAGGTTCGTTAGATAAGAATAATATGTAAAACTGAAGACGATAAAGCTGAGTTTTGTTCGATCAGAAGATTTGATGACGATAATGATCAGTTTGGTTAGATCTGTAGAATTGATAACGATAGAGATGAGTTTTGTTAGATCAGAAGATTTGATGACGATAATGATCAGTTTGGTTAGATCTGTAGAATTGATAACGATAGAGATGAGTTTTGTTAGATCAGAAGATTTGATGACGATAATGATCAGTTTGGTTAGATCTGTA